AATATATTCAGAAGTTCTTCTGATGTTACAAAATAACAACATTTTGAACTAAATGCAACATTTACCTTAATCTCAAGGTTATATACTATATTAGAAATGCACTTTCATGAATTAATATGCTGTCTACACTGTAAAGTACATACAAAAAATCAATATACTAATTACATATTTAAATAAAAAGAGAACAAGTACTACACTTTGGGTGCATTACCTCATTTGCTGCTGAATCATGAAAAAGTAACTCAAGAGAACAGAACCAAAAAGGTGCACTGATGGATGATTAGTAGCTGGCAAGCAACTAAGACTGTTACAGCAATGGCAAAGCTTCAGAAATGGACTGATGATGCAGGTAAGGCTGACAGACTTACTCTGAAGCTGTGGCTGAGGCTGCTGGAAGGAAAGGGGCTGTCCGAACACAAATGGACTGTGGACTAGGGAAGAGGGAGGTTTTGCAGCTTGATCAAAGATGGAAGGAGCTGGGAGATTAGGCCGTGACTGAATGGAATTCAGTATGGCACTCAGTTGGTCACCTGCAGTGGGCAAAACAGTCAAAACTACAACCTGTTATTCAACATCCTCCAAAAAGGCAGAGTAAAAACTGTGCTGAATGAAGATTGAACAAAGACACAACTGACAGACTCAACTAATCTCTGATACTGTAGTAAGCTTTCACTCCAAAATTCAAGGTACACCACAATTTTTATAAAAATAGAAAAAAAGAGTCCTTACAATTATAAAAATCATTTAGCCGCATGTAATTTGGTGTGTAGCTATATCTTCATCCCATGAATCATGACACAATTGCTAAAGACTAGAGTTTCTGAGAATCATGGATATTTCTCACACAGTTTAAAACATTTCAGAAGTGCTATTTGAGTGACCTGTCTTGCTAAAAAAGGGGCCAAAGCAAAAATATTCCTAGTGTTTACAGTAGCACATACATGCAACAGAACATGCAGAGTAGCAATGAGTAAAATCAGATGAGTATGAAGATAATAAATGCAATTAGTTTTTTGGCAAGCATACTTACATATGCATATGACAGTATTTGCTTGCTTTCACAGTTAAAAGTCTCTCACTGTTTACAGTTATCCTTTGGAAACCTGAAACTGCATTTGTTTCCTGAACAGAACTATGTATGCACTTGCTTTATTGTTGGAGGACCCTCAGAGTTGATATTTTTGAATGTATTACACATTTTCAAAAGTAAAATAAAAGAATTATCTGGATATTATAAGCAGATAAAACAGAGAAAAGGCAGGTTTTATCCCTAGATGATTTACCTTAAGGTTTGCTGAGTACTATGAGTTACAGATACTTATATCATCTCAAGTTTTGGCCTAACTTTAACAGTGATCCTTTATTTAAATACAGATTCTGACATCTGATAACTCTATAGTATTAGAGATGTACAGGTAGAAAAATAAAAGTTAAAAGATTAAAACTTCAGATAAAGAGGTTACTTCAAAGCTGTAAACTTTTAAAATTATTTAACAACACTTTTCTAACTCTATAAAAAAAAAATACTAGAGGGTCCCATGTTTCCCAAAATATCAAGGAATGCCAACATCTAGTATTTCCCTTATCCCTTTTCTCTCTCTCCTCTCTCTGTTTTGTAAATGCAAAACCAAAATAACTACAAAAGAACAGTAACTGAAGCATCCCATATCCAAGCACCTTTGGGTGTTAATGACTGGCTTTATTTAAAATGTTAAAGCTGTGCTGCAGTCTTAAAGGAATATCAGAGTAAGTATTTTGGCCACATACAATCTTACCCTATACTACTGCAGACTATAGATGTGCTTGTGACTGTTGTACTATTCTAAAGACGCTCACCATCATTATTACAAGGGTGTTGATTGTAGCTGTGTTGGTCTAAGGACATAGGCAGGGCAGCTCCACATATCAGCCGGAGCCCAGCTGTGCATGCCTCTCCCCAGCCAATCTGAATCACCGAATCTCAACAAATCTTCTGAAGCCAATTTGGCCAAATCAATTCAGGACAGTGATCTGAATCGAATCGCTGTCCTCCAAATCAGCCAAATCCAAATATAATACTTCTATATTCACACATGCCTAATATCTAGCTATCTATCTAGTTATCTATGGTGTTCATTTTAATCATGGAAGAATGTGGATTTGGGATTTTTTTAATTTTTATATCTGAAAAATTTGGGACTTTTTTTTTTTTAAATTAGAGAAAGCCAGGATCCGTTGATGATTCAGCATTTTTCTAGCAAAACCCCCATTTCTCCTAATAAGCAGACAGCATCCCTGTACACCTTCAAGTTCTATTCCTGTCTCAGGATCCAAACAGACTCCAAAAAAATGAGGACAGGAATGGAAGTTTAGTCGCTATCAACTTATGTGCAATCTATTTATATGAAAACGGGGCAGATTGAGGGGGGAGAAGTGGTCACATCCCCCCTTTTGCTGCCACTGTTCCCAGCCGAGCCTGAAAACCTGCATAACTGCTCCCTGTAGCTGGAGCCCTCTAGGCCAGCGGGTGACACAGGAAGGAGGGGGACCCACCTGCCTCCACTGATGCCCTTACTTGACTAGGGCATGGGGAAGCCCCAAAGCTGATCCTGACCTGCTCCTGCTGCAGGGAGCCTCTGTGAGCGATGCTGGGCTTGGCTGGGGACAGGGAAGGTAGTGGGTGTGTTCCTTTTCCCTGTACCTGTTCTTTCCCCACCTCATGCCTCCGACTAGCTGGGGAGCAGGATCTGTAAGAAGGAACCCACCCCACGCCACCACTGTCCTCTGCTGATGAAGGCACAGGAGATGCCCCTTCCCTGCTCAGCTGCAGGAAGTAGCTGCACAGGGTGCCAGGCTCAGGAAGAGTAGCAGCAGCATGCGGATTCATTCTTCCAGCACCTTCTGCCCAAGACTGACTCAAAAGTTGACTACCTTGTACATTTTTTTCAGGATTCAATCAGCATTCTTGAAATGTGGCTGACTGAGCTAGGGAAAATGTATTTTAAACAGGAAAAAAAAAATTGTCTTCTAGGGAAAAAAATAAATATAGAACTCTTCAGAAAATGCTAAGAAGAGGTAATGATTTCTTACAACATATGCCATCAAAACAGCTACAAACACACAAAACAAGACAGAGAGACTTCTGCTTCCAATACAGAACTAGGAAATACAGTGAACAAAACTTAATTTTTTGACTGTGTTGTCAAAAATGCTTTTTTTCCCCGTAGTCCTCATCTGAAAAGAAAATAGGGACTGGAGGAGTGACAGACTAAATTATGACAACAGACAGATGTATTTGTTCATATGTTAAACATATGTAAATAATGTACACTGATGTAAACAGTCTTCATTAGAACATTAAAAACAATAGAAGAAATGCATAACGCTTAGATAAAGCCCTCCCCATTCTCTTCCCCTCCTTTTTTAAAACAAAGTTATAATTACTAAAAACTTTGTAAAGGCCAGAGCTAAATTATTTTAGGGTGTGGATAGATGTAACAGATATACTGATACCAAATTATACAGGCATAGGATGTTCCAGTATAACTGTTATGTCTGTTTGCTTATGTGGCAGCATAAGTAAAATGAAACCACATTGTATCTTGAACCCGGTTTAATAATGGGTTATAGTTACAACAATTTAGTTTTCTTATACTGGTCAGGGAGCAGACAGATGTAATAGTTGCATCAGAACAGCTGGAGTGCTTTCCCAAGCAGGAAGTCCTCTTCTCCCTTTAAAAAGAATAGTTACATCTGTCCACAGCCTTTCTTTAAAAGTGGGCATGCAATCTGAACTAGTGTTAAATAAAAATTATGCAAACAATACTCCTAAAATGTGTGTTGCCTAGACTACACATAATACTAGCACGGTAAAGATCCATATTTCAGCAATACTCCCCACTAAGAGCACATAACTTGCCATAAAATCTCCTGGTTCAGATAACCTTTTTCATATAAATAATGAGTGAATAATAGGTACAATTTGTGTTCACTGCAGATAGCCTGTACATCTTTATTTCTTAGTGGAGAAATGAGGCATGCTTCACAGAGAGAATATCTGGGTTCCCTCTTCCCCACAACATTAATTAGGTGCTTATTTTCAAGTGTCCAGTGGACATTTTTATATTTGAAGGTTAGATGGTTATCAGGTATGCGTATTTTAACATCTTTGTTATAGGTAGAAGGCTTATATCACTGTATTATATTTTATATTAATAACCTACCTTAATACAAAAGCTGAGCAGGAGTCAATATTTTCAAAAATGCTTGCCACTAAGTACTGTCTATAATCAAAATACTGACTCTTATACCTTCTATCAGGTCATCAAATGCAAAAGTGTATGTGTGTGCATGTAAAAATAAACTTACTTAGAGGCCGACAGTGAAATCCTCATGGCTTTCCCTTGAAAACCCTTTTCGAATAGATCCTGAACTCCAAATTTGGACTTTGGAGTTATTATTCTTTTCCATGCAATTAGCATTTTGTATTATAATTGAAATATTTACTTGAGTTAAAGGCAACCCGCCAATAACTAGATTATGTACAGGAAAATGTATACATTTGCTATTTGAGAGAGAGAGGGAGAGAGAGACAGAGAGAGGGGGAGACGAGGTAGTGGGGCAGGCAGCAGTTGGGGCTTTGGTCCTAAGCCTGGGTTGGAGCCAGAGCCATATTAAGTAGGGGGTGGGGGACCTGCCTTGGAATTGAGTAAATATATACCCTAGTGCTACACACAGAACCTCAATGTAATGAACCTTTAATATAACTTCAGTAACTTAAGAATTTTTATAATGCAGAAATTTGAACATAATTTACTATACTAGTAATTACATAAAATACACTTTTGAGGTAACTCGTTTCAATAAAAATTAGGGAGTTGGCTCATTTGGGGTGCACTGGCTGGTGCCTCAAATGGCTTTGATGTACTGCAAGAAGATAATGGAAAATAAATAGCAAAAACATATATGCAGAAGTTCGATGCACAAGAATATGTTTTGAAACACTGAGGGTACAAACTTACCTTTGTTATTTCCCAGGCCATAATCAAATCCTTGCCCGTTACTACAGCTTGTCCCTTTATTGAAAGCTTGTATTGAAAAAGGACTTGGAGGAGGAGTCTGAACATTTTGTTCTAGAAGACCTTGCTCTGTAAAACAAACCATCAGTTCAGAGTTAGAACTTTTTATCATTTACTTTTATTGGAAGGTGGAGTCAAAAGACAAAAATATTTTAGAATGAAAAGGGTTTTTTTCTGGGACAGGCTTGCCAAGTTTGGTACAAAAGGAAAGTATTAGTCTTATCCTGAAGAGCTTCCTTCTAAAACACTTAGTACTGTGTACAGTAGTCTCACAGATTGATTTTAAACTCTTGTAACAAGCTGTGCCAATTCACATTACTAAAACAGGAACTAGATTAAACTTTGGATTTCACTACAATGCTTGGACAACAGATCATTTATTATACTTCTCACAACAGTCTAAATAGACTGATAAAGCTTTTGGACATCCAAGGAAAAAAAATACTCTAATGACTCCCTTTCTTAAGCAACCAGTTCTCTCACTCCCACTTGAGAAGCTTAATAATGACAAAGATTATCATTTTAATTACATTTTGTTTAAACATTTAGACTTTCTGGGGCAGACACCCATCCCTACTTAAGCACTTGAACTTAGCTGCTGTTGAAGAAGGAATCACAAATGAATAGCATGACTAGTTGTCAGAGAGCATGCAGGCATAGAATTGATACAGCTATCTGTATACTCTGTAGTAACAGTCATTAAATAATTGCATCTTAAAAAGAATAACTGTTAACAGCCAATGCATTTGGATGCATTTTGGGAGGGAAACTCCCTCCACTAAGGAAACACCCATCCCCCTCTGTCACCACAACTGGACAAAAATTTCTCATTAATTTGCATATCCTGTCATAATTTAATGCATCCCATTCACTGTGAAGTTGCAGGTGTCCAGAATTTAAAACATTAAATCCTTAAATATTTAAATTCAGATACTTAAAAAAAATGTATGGGGAATCAGTTTATAACTGCTTTAACTGCTATCTACTGGTTGCTAACATATCTGTTATGTTTCAATAAGATGGCTAATACTTATTAACAATAGGCTCAAAATGTCAACTTGAATTAGTTCTCATCATGCAAGTTGCCAAGCATTATACTGAGCAGAAAGAATATAACAAATATGCAAAGCCATGTGGATCACCATAAGTCATAAACAATACATAAAGATTAAATAGTAATGAAATGAAGATCAGACACAAATTTAGCTAAATTAGAAACCAGAGATTAGGAAAAGCACTAAAAACAATTGTTAATGTAAAATCTTTCAATATTTCAAAAATAAATTGTAATAAAACACAAACATTAAAAAGTCAGTATCCTTTTCATAAAGGAAAGAAACTTGGAAAAAGTTTTTCCTACCTGTCAATTGACCTTCCTTGAATTCTTCTGAATCAGTTTAATGTTTACCCTTTCTACCAGCATTTGTAGGCTCCGCTCCCCCTTTCAACGTAAAAATTCTAGCACTTCCCTTAGGCAATTTTCTTCACAGCCTGAAATATTCCATAGCAGCAGAATGCTTTTTTTGCCTGGAAAACTCCCATAAACAACCCACCACACAGGAAGCAAAGCATCACCTTCCCACCCCCCAGCTCACATATTCTAGACCAAGTGTCAGACTCCCAAGTCAGTTTTTGGAGTATTGCAGTAGTCAATCAAACAAAAAACCCCAAAAACAAAGAGAAGAAAGTCTGCCTAAAAACTTAATTCACAACTAATACAAAAGTAGTAGGTTATTTATTTAGTAATAGTCCAAACTCTAAGTTTAGTTTTAATATTTTATGTTAGAAATGGAAAATAAAAATGTATTTTGTGTTTTTCAATTGCAATAGGGGAAATACAGTTTTGGTTAGACTAAAGCTAGGTACAGACATTCAAGAAGCCTGAGGCAGAACCAACCTGAATTACAAGGTTTTCTGTGAATGGTATACTTTAGATCGGCACTGAACAGAACATACATTCACCCTTTGGTGGTGGGGCAATCAGACTAGGTTCCTCCATTTTTAAACCAGCTTATGTGCACCAAACTTTTGTTCTGTTATGAGTATAGACCAGTTCTGGGCACTGAACTTCTGTTCTGTTACAGGGATAGACGGGGTTTTGATCATTTATACTGGTAAAAGTGTAATGTCTGTAACTGGCCTTAGTATCCTACCTAAGAGTCTACTTGTTAACTGGTCTGTCATATACAGATAAATGTGCTCAGTGTTTCAAATATTAATCAAGTTTTAAGTTGAACTGCAATAGCTGAAATTCTCTTTCACCGATTGACTCGCAAAGAACACCCAATACGAAGATGACTGGTCTACATAAATATTTCTAGCCCTGACAGGACACAAAACACTGAGCTTTAGCAAAATTGTGATTATCTTCATTTGCTCCCCCTGGAATTAAAGTTCTTCAACAGCCAACAATTTATAAACTACTGGAGAGTACTATTAAGATTATTGCTTAATACCACTAATCTAAATTAATTTCTAGCTCTGCTACTTCTAACAGCAACTGCTAAACTCATGCAACAACTGAAATGGAGACAGATTACCCAGATGTTGTGGCAAATAATTTTATTTTACCCATAGCTATTATTTCAGGGGTATGAAGAAAGCTATGACACCAAACATTTGTACCACTACTGATCCAGCTCTTGAATTATGCAGGTCTGCCCCAGGTACTGTAAGCCTAAATCTAAGGACAGATTTTGGCTTATTCTGAGTAATCACTATGACTGTCAGAAGAAAGAAATTTACAGACATAACGTTTACAGTACACTACAAATATTTCTGCTTAAAAGTTATGTCCAACTGACATATTCCTCCCTCAAATTCAGGACAACTTGAAATGGCTACTCAGGCATACCATGCCTGTGAACATTACTGAGAAGATTAAATAAGCTTGCAGGGAGCAAGAAACCTGTAAAGGAGAGAACACAGTAATTTGGTCCACGGTGATCACCTGAAATCAGATTCAGACTATGGTTAGGTCTTCTACAAAATGACTTAAGTTCTGGACAACTATGGAGTTCTCAGAGTCCATGAACATTTGACAATTCCTGAGGTTGATTAAAAGTACTGGGCCACGTAACATATATGTACTACTACTAAATTTAAGAGGCTTTAAGCCCTTTGTCAGCTGGATGCAATGTTAAGATCCCTTTGCCCTCTACTCTCTGCTGCGGTTGTTGAAATTTATCCTTGATATTACAAATGCTTTTGTAGCTACAAGATTCCTGTCTAAAGTCAGTAAGTCTTAACACATCATGTTTTATGAGCATTAAGACATTTTTGATAGCTTACCATAAACCTTAGTGCCTCAGGCACTCATAGTTGAGAGAAGGATCCTTAGATCCTAACCAGTGGAGTAACCTTGATCAGTTGTTTGTCCAGATAGGGAGGCATAAGCAGGTAAGGCGTTACCAAAAGCTTAGCAAACACATTTGACACCTACATCAAATTAGTAGTGCTGCTCTTCATTATACATGACATGCATCACATCATTGAGGGCACTGGCAGACATTTATTTAGTGGTGTGATAGAATCTGTTCCCTGATCCCAAATGCGACTGCCAGTGCAGCCCACCATACCATGCTTCTGCTGTACCCTCTCACCTTGAGAGTGTGAAGTGTCTAGGATTGCACTCCAGGACTTCATGAACATCAGAAAGTTAAAAAGTGTGCATTGCAGCTCTGCATGGGGCTATACCCACAGCAGATCTGTAAGTGCTAGTGGGTGGGAAGGGGAAATCAGTTGACTCCCCCTGCCTGGCAGCTGCAAAAACATGTGCAGGGGGGTTCACAGTCAGTTTTTAAAGGACTTAGCATATCAAAATCCCAGGACTGGGAAGCCTCTCCCCAATACTAGGGTTCCAATATACTGGTACTTTTAAACAATGCACATGCATTTGGGCTACACACATGGTTTTTAATGGTCTGGTACACCAACACCTTTAAAATCTACATGTGCGTATCCGCATGCAAGGCTGTTGGGCATGCAGGTTTGCAGCTGGGTGGCAGTGTCAACTGGTTCCCATCACTCTGTAAAAGCCATGACCCAAAAGCTGACTTTCACCATGGCAAGTGAGAGATTCAAGATAGCTCTGTGCCCAGTATTTCAAAAGGCTTGCTATACAGCCTGCCTGTAAGCCACTTAACATGCCACATTCAAATTAAAGCTTCATACAAATGAACCATCAATGTTCCACACCTAATGTGGAACATCTTTGTAACTTGTTTGCCATTTTATGACACGATGAATCATCAGGTGAATGTGTGGCATATTACACTTCCTTACTGCATAATTAATATGCAAATTGTGCAATAAAGGTAACAACTGCCAGGGGTCTAAAATACCCCAATTGGTTGCAGAACACACAATCAGGTATGTTTGCAGTAGAAAGAAGTCGTTCTTCAGACATACCAAACCGAACTCTTTGACAGGAAGTTATTTCAGATACAGCACTCCTGCTTTTTGGTTATTAGGGAGTACCATTGACTAAACCCAGTTTAATGCTACTATTTGCCAGCAAGTACTGGACTGATAGAGGATACTGGGTGGCAATTTAGACATTTTTGATATGCTAAATCTAGGTCAAGAGACCACGAACCTTCCTCCAACTCAGAAATCTTTGGAGACTGGTACTAGTTGTCCAATTGTTCCAGGACCTTCTTCACTACTTACAATCAAAGGATTTAAGAACACTTCTAATGGTGCAGATACTAAATTTTGCTTTAAGCTCTCTATTGGGAACTCTTGAATTCAACCTTAAATGTGTAATATCGTTTTTTCCTGAGAGGGCCAGATAATTGGTAAAGGCACCAAGAATAGGATATAAAAGTATAAGGTATTTTATTTTAATTTTACTATCATGACATTTTCTTTTCCTTTCTGAGAATTTTTCATGACCTAGCAGATTCTTGGGTTTCTGCCCTACATTACTACAATCTGACTTTTCAGTTTTACTGTTATAGATAGGTTTATCAGCAAGAAACACCTAAACTATTACCAGTCCATGTTAAGAAACAAGATAAAAGCCTCAGCTCTTGAAGAACTGCCACTGAAAGGTCAACATATCACATTTTGCCTGAATGTCCTGACATGTAGAAAAAACTTCATAGCATTAAACTATTTTCAAAACATATCATTAAAGCCAAAGCAAGGTTAATGTTTTATTTTGATGAAAGAATGAGAGTTTAACTACCTGAAATTGCCATTTAAAAATGGGAATCAAAGTTCAAGGCACTTCCCCCCCCTGCTGATAGTGCCAGAAGTCCACTAGAAAAATCTAGTAGATGATATAGAATACTTCCTTAAAATAGAGTGAAAAAGCTCATGAAGATAAAGAGAAAAATCACAATTGACAGTTTTAATGAGAAAACAGACCAAAGATATGATAAGGAATAAAAGGCTGATGATTCTAAAGATATGAGATCTTCAGGTGAATGGAAATAAAGCAGACAGCTTGCCTGAAGCAGCCACCCAGTCTGAAAGGATCTGAACTATGAATAGTGAGATGTTCCTATCATTGAGGAAGATTATATACCTCTACCTTTAAAGAGCCAAAAAGCCTTGAAGAGCTAAAAGAGTTCCTACCAGTTTCACAGTACCAAAGACTACCAAAAATTGGCATATGCATCATTTCTTTGGTGGAATTAAGATTCCATAAACATAATACATTGGTAGATAAATGGAACTTGAACTATCATCAAAATAAAAAGGTAAAAGGGTTACAAGAAGTTTAAATGCCTATTAGATATCTGAATAAATTGTTTTGATAAGTGAAAGATAAAAGTTTTCCCAAGAGAAATTAAATAGAATCCTCACAGCCAAAAAAAGCCCTAATACTTCTACTTTAAGAATTATGCCCTGCTAAAAATTGATATTAAAGAGGCAAAATAATAGTATGCATAATGATAATTTAGGTTAAATAAATGGTACAGTTTCTTTTGTTGACCATGAGTGTTAGGGGACAAGTAAAACTTTCCCAGGAACTGAAAATGATATTGAAAAGTACTTTTGTAAGATAGCCAACACATGGCCAGAGACCTCTGTCTAAATCCATCAAGGTTTTAAAATATTTTGACTATAATACTCTAAAGTGTGGTGTATTTATTGCATTTTACAGAAACCTACTTGCTGTCTGAAATGAACTTCTGTGGTTGCTTTGTCATATCAGAACATTTTGCAGAAGACCACGAAGTAGCATTATTGAAGATTTTTTTTCCATTTTAAAAGCCGAGTTGAAAATTTGTTCGGTTCTTGGCAGGGCACTGTACTGGTTCCAATCCCAGAGCATTACATGTTAAACACAAAATAAAAATTCTAGATGTTCTAGAAGAGTGAGGGCTAATCTTTTTGGCAACTGTGCCACAAGTTAGCCCCACTTCTTCCTCAAGTGCTACTCCATTGCCCTTCCTCTGCCTGATCTGCTGTTCTGCTTTCCACTCCCAGTTCTGTACTCCCTGCCTGATTGATCTATTGCTCTGCTTTCTTCTTTCCCCATGCTCCCTGCCTGATTTGTTGTTTTGCTTTCTACCTCCTCCTCCCCTTTCTGCTGCTGTGTTGCCTGTCCCCTTCCCAATCTGCTGTGCACCAAAAACAGAAGCTGGTCCTACCATGGGCTGGCCACATTTATTCAATGTCTATTTTTCAGGTGGAGAAACACAGACTGAAGAAAATTGCCTGGGGAAGTATGCTAATAGTTTTTAGAAAATTGACACTTCATCTAATAGAGGATGACAAAATAAACATACCTACAGTTTGCAACTGGTTCAAGAAGAATGAATCTGAAAATGCTTAAATGTTATTTTTGTATAATCTAAACATGCTTGATGCTGAAGTTTTTCTAGAAATTTTAATTAATCTTTTTCCAATTGAATTATTTTATTAGTTTATATGTTGCCTTTTTCAAACTCTTGAAACTTTCTTCAAACTTTTTGTTCTTTATACTTTGACTTATATTAACACATTTACAGAGTAAAGTTTATATAAAACGAAGACAACTTGCCATCTTCATGTCGGAGGTACTGGTTTCCACCTCTGTCTCTAGCTAAGGACCATGCCTCTCCTTCATCACTCTCACAGAACTCTACCATGCTGTTCTTATCCATTTGTACCCATGTACCTTCAGAATTAGTCACCTGATACACACACAAAAAGCAGAGTTTATTGACTTTTCAGATAACCCAGTACTGAGATCCAGCAACATGCTTCAGTATTTGAAACAATATGCTTATTTCCATCTTGACACTAAAAGATACATGTTTTTGAAATTAAGGCAACAGCTTAGAGTAGAATAAAGACCAATTCCTTTAATGGGAGGTTTAAAATTATAAATATTTTCAAAGTTTTACACCAGCTTATTCTCAGGAAAAAAAACCCAACAACAACTCAATCTTTGACCATTCAGACCAGACCAAATAAGGTATCATCCAATAATGTGAACGTGGTTTTGGTAGCTGAAATAGTAAGGTAATTATACTGTCGAATTTTATGTGGAATATTTGTAAATTTGCCAAGTGTGCTCCTGACACTGTTTAAGAAATAGCATGACACACTACATCCTCAAGCCCATCTCAATAAAACAGCAAAGCAGGATGACTGAATATAGCAACAATGACTGAATACAAAGGAAAAGGATCATTTTATAACTGAGTACAGCCCTGGAAAGGATTCCTCCAGTAAAGTAAAATTCACTTTGATCCATACAATCAATAAACAGAACAGATAGGATTTTGTAATTAATAAACCATACTGTAACAGAATGTAAATGAGTGAAAGTGATTGCGGGATCAGAAAATTCAAGTTTAATATAAACCCAATTAATGAATACTTATTTAAAAAGCAAAAAACAGAATTGCATTAGTAAGTATAACATATACATAGTTCAAAAATGAACATTTGCCACCAGGGTTGGAAAAGCAAACCTTGTACTCTTTTGTTGTGTTTACTACTGTTATAAACTGGTATCTATGAAGACATGAACTGAAGCTACAAGGATCCATACCTCGCCCACTGCCTTGACTCTGTTTCCCAGAACTAACATTCCAATTGGGATACCTCTAAGGTTAGGGCAGCTTCTGATGTTGTGACCAGATGGGCCAGTCTTCACTACCTTGTACACTCCAGGTCCACCTCGAAGTAGTGGCATATCTTGTTCTTGCATCACTGCTTCCTGTGGGCAGTGTGAATTTAAATCTTTGAAAAAGTCATCAGTATTAGACCTAGACTCCTGAAAAATTTAGAAAAATAAAAGCAAAACACAGAAGTTGTTAATAATTCTTTTTGTACACTTACCTAAGAAATATATCCTTCAACTCAGCAACAACTAAATTCTTAATCTAAAAAGTATATGGTTCATAATGCCAGTTTCAGTTCTCAATGGTAAACACAACAATTGAATTATTGCTATATAAAATTAACACATATTTCTGTGAAGTTCTTTTGATATACAAGTATTTTAAAAGTAGTCCACATGTGAGTTTTCATACATACAACCATAAAAGCCTACAGGTGACATTCTGTTCTTTTCTGAACACCCAGATAACCAGATTTGGTCATCTAAGTCCCCAAACTACTACCAATAGGTTAGCATTCTACTTCTGGGCATGTATATGCATAAGGCTGCATACACAGGAAGTGTGTGAACATGAATGTAAGCGGCATTTTGGGGACTTATAGAAACGATGATGTAGACAACCAAATGTAGTTGACTAGACTTCCATAAGGAAACAGAATGCCACCCTTCCTGTCAAGTATTGCTCTCTACCAAGACAGAAAATCCAAAACACACCTGATCATCTTTTAACATAATAAGAAAAAACAAGTTAACCCTGGACTAATCTTCTGAGCATGTATAAAGTAGGCTTATCATTCAATAGTACTCTGTGTAGTCAAATTCAGGAAAATGTTGTAAATACTGAATAATGGTAAAATAATTCTAATTAAAACATGAAGGAGTTGCAGCACTGTGGATACCTGCATGCACATAACTTACTAGTTTGTATTTATTATTTTTCATGCTGATGATAAAAATACTAGGGAGATTTATTTTGGATAGAACCACGTTCAGATAAAAGACAAACCAAACCCTGAAATGATGCTATAATTCTGAAGAACGTTTATTCCTTGGATTTAAATTCTTGACAAAAAAAATTAGAGGGATGCTAAATGAGGACCACTGGCATGGCTTTATCACTGGAAATATAGTAAAATTTTCAGCATATAGTGGGTAGGAAAATTGTAGCACACATTTGTGTCACAGTAAAACAAACAAGAAGCTATTGAAAGGGCTGATGTGCTTTAAAAACAAAAGAATATAAGCTACATGCAAAAAAGAGGTACAAGTGAAGTTAATTCCTTTATTAATGACAAAATTATATCCCTGGCCCAATGTAAAATTTCAGGGTTTTTTGTTGTTGATTACTATATATGTAAATAAGGTTGAAGACTTGCTAGAATCTAGGTATCCCATCAGGGTATTGTACTTGAGATAAGCCAGTTTCTACAGCCAAGGGAAATATTTGGTCAGTAACAAGCCCAGTCACTGTTGATTCCCTAACCCAAATGAATAGATACCTATTTCTCCTGGCTTAACAGGTGGCCTTTGTTGTCTCTATATCTGCAGGAAGATGACTTAACTGCTCTTTATCTTGCGTATCATGTTTAGATTATTATTAGAAATCAAGCCCTTACACAGTATGAAGTTGATCTGAAAGTAAGGGAATTTTTAAAACAAACTATGGTATTCATGAAGGTAAGCTATTTCAAAGAGAAAAAGATCACAATGCTCTGCTTAGTTAACTACTTTTAAGTTTCTAAACCTTGACATGGCATTATAGTAATGTTGTCTTGTTGCAGAAATTAATCAGTGAAAATTAATATAATTTTTAAACCTTTAAAAAAATATACAGATAATTATTTGAGAATAGTTACCATCAAAGTTCCTATGGAAATAACCCTATCCGATAAGAGACCACAGTTTCACAAATAAATTTACACACGTATCCAAGTATCTAAGTATTTATAATACTTAGATGTACATAATACAATGAAGTATCTTTTTGCAATTATAGTATTTTTGGAAAACATCAGGAATTACTTAATGCAAATGTCCATTTCTTAACTAATTTTGAGCTATAAAAGCTCACAATATATCATTTTGTTAATCTTATTAAATGCTGCAACTGACTGGAGCATCTCACTGAAAAAAGGAAAAGCAAAATTTAGCAGCATACCTCATCTATAAACAGACTATCCTGAGATAGATCCTCTTGTTACTTCTAAATAGGCAACAAGGTCTACATTTTTAATTAGTCTGTAATATTTAAAATACATAATTTTTTAAGCTGCTGGAAATTCAGTAACCTTCCATCAACATTTTAAACTTATATTTTTTTTTCCAATCACAAGTGGATGAACTTAAAGGAACAGATAAAGAATTCTACAGCATAGTATCTGAATTTTAATTATTTCTTGTAAAAATAAAGCAGAATTGGAAGGTTATACTATGTAAAGTTGTGTCGACATACATGCTGAAAAACAGGACAGAATGTGACAGTTCCTAAGAAATAACTCACCTGTGGGGAAAAGGCTTTGGCAGTCCATGAAAAAAAGTCCAAATCCCTGACTCCTTGGCTAGCATTAAAGACATTCTGAGCAACAAAGTTTAAGAAAGACAAATATCAACAAGGAAAATTGAGTAAGATAACGTTGGAAGAAGATACTAGAGATAGTATAATGCAAAATTTTCTGCATTCTAGCACCAGTATCAAAATGAACAACTGCCTTCCTACAAAGGGGGATGTGTTTTTTAAAATGAGCCACCTGAATTCATCGTTCACCATGACAAATCATTTGATAAACAAAAACAGCTTCATATGTCAAAAGCTCTAAATGGATGTAGTGTGTCATGCCATTTACTGAAATTAAGAGCCAGACATTTGTTATAAAGCTTGAGACTTTGTACAAGACAAATCCCATAGTTGTTACAATGAAAACAATATCTGTTCCAGTGCAAGCCAGATTTGTTTTATGATAAGACAGTCTGCTGTTTTTCAAAGATTATTTGAATTAATGTAGCATGACTAAATGTGGACCGTCAGCCACCAATTCATACCTAGAAAGATTTATAAAATAAGTTTAACAGTGTTGGAAACCAATATACTGTCATATTGTATAACCTCATTAGCCTGCACACCAAAACAGCACTAAGTTCATGATATCGGAAGCAAAAATGTAAGAGTGCTGTAGAGAGAGAATGATTGCTAAGTTATCATTTTTACAAAATATACAATACATTTACTACAAGATTGTGGAGTACAATAAACCAAACAAAGTTGTCAAAGAGATTAAATTAATTTTAGTATGCTGAAATCAGTCCCCCATTCAGGGGGAATTAGTGATCTTCTACCATGCTTTTAATTGATAAAATCATATTTTTCCAGCCCAAGTTTGGGAAGGAAGTAAAATCCTGGACAGCTATATTATAGTTTAGTAAGAAGAAAAGTAAACTGCAAGGCAACAAAATTGAGACAGAAATCTTTATATATTTTTCTGCATTATAGTTTTACCCTCAATACAGCCATTATTATTCACATTTGTATGAAGTATAATCTCACAATCTGCTATCATCTATGATAAATACTGCATGTTTGCCAAAGTTCTGCTCTGATCAAGTTTTACTAACAATTTACAAACAAAAATTTACTAATTCTACTAACAATTTGAAAAAAAGAAAGAAAACAATATGACAACTTATTTAGAATATTGTACTTCCATATATAATTGGAACAGGTAAAATACACGAATGAGGTGGCTGATGTCCTTTTTTTTGTTAAAACAGAAAGATGATGAAACAAACACATCAAATTGGCACAAATCTAAGAGGGCTATAAAACCAACATTTGTGTGATTGCCATTTATTTCACAAGAATTCAAATTAGTTCAATATACTGAATTGTAAATAACTTTGCTATTTATCTCAGTTTGCTTTTTTATTTGACTATAGCGAAATGCAGACTTTCCGTACATAAAACAACATCAAAAAAAATTTTTTTTTTCTGGAACTCTTACGGAGTTTTGCATTGTTACTTTTGTGCTATTAGGAAACGTGAAAAGCAACAAAGATGAAATTATCTGCAGTAAAGAAGCAATGTGGTGGCTGTGAAACACTGAATGTAAAAAAACAAAACAAAACCCTAGTATCTCTCTTTTGTTTTATTTTTGAAACCGTCTCCCCCTTTAGCGTATAATATGCTGAATACCAATTTAAATGTATTGATTCAAACAGTTTCAAGAAAGAAAATTCTGTCAGCTTAAAAACTACATTTGCAAACATGCAAGCTTGTTAACATTTAAACCCTTATGCTGCCACTTGTAGACTTATTTAACCTTTTTTTTCTTTACAGAAGAAACTGGAAAAAAACGCCTTAAATTTTAAATACAAAGTTTTTTGTTTTTATTTTAAAGAGGTGAAAGGATTACAACATCAAATCCTCTCATCTGAAGAAAAACAGATCTTAGCAGAAATCTGCAGATTTTAAATAGCTTAATTCATTTGAATTTTCTGAAGCAGTATATCTTTCCTTTAATTACCATTCAACTGTTTTAGAGTGGGCTTCTAGTTAAAGTAAACTTAAAATAACGTGGGGGGGGGGGGGGAACCTTTTGGTGCTTTAATGACTATATCAAATTTCCTCATAATACAAAGCAAACTTTTCCTCCCTACTAAAACTCTGCCAACTTGACCTGTGATCTGGAAATTAAGCTAAATTCCTTTCTTCTTACACAACGCTACTCAGAGAACATTCAGGAGACAAAATTCTTCCAGCCTAACATTTAAATAATACAGTAAGGATGACTGGGTGTAAATTAGTGTTCTGCTTTCTGCTCAACCTGCTGCTCTGCTTTTTGTGCTGTCTGTCCCTTCCCTAATCTGCCATGTGTCACAAACAGAGGTTGTCCATGCTACAAGTTGGTCACCCTTGGACTACAGAATGATATTCATGCATAATAGTATCATCCCAAATTCCAAACTAAATATCAGATTGGGACCTTTAACCCTGCACTTCAACTGCCTGTATATATTTCATCCCACCTACTAACCTAGCCCCCTTCCTGCTTTTTATTAAGCAATTTCTCCCCTTTTAACTGCTAAAGATCTAACACAAGAGCATTCTGGACTCTAGGAATTCTTGTAAACCAAATTTTTGAACAAGTGTGTGGGGATATACACAGACATCATACCCACACACATAATATTTTATCTGGTTAACAGGACCTTTTTGTGTGGTGTAATCATAACAAAGTACATTTCGTTGTTTTTTTACTCCTTAGTAAATTTACCCTGTAGCAAGGACCGGACACATAACCCGCCTCCCAAGTTAGTTACTCCGAATGGGCACTGTTACAGGGGTGGACCACTAACTGGCAAGGGAACCATTTTGAACTGCTAAATACGAAAAACAACTAGGAAAGCGAACACAGAACCAGTAAACTGGTTTAACTTACACCAGCATATCATCACTGCTCACTTTGAAGGCAAATTTACTTTGGTGTGGAGTGATTTACACTGGTATAAAGCTAGCCTTCTTGTGTCCATTCCACTCCAGAATAAAAAGTCAAATCATCTTGAAATAAATGTACTGTCTCTACAACCTGTGTCCTGAGTTCTATAGCAGTTTGTTTAAAAAATGATAAAATGTAAAAGGAAAATGTATGAGAGTACCAACACTTCAGACACCTTAAAACTAGCATCACATTGTAACTACAGTTTATTCTACAAGACTTCAGCTGTGGAACTAGTTACTAATGTAGCCATTACCGTTAGCGCAGACATTATATCATTTTGTTTTCTGTCATCAAAATTCTAATGCAACTACTAATTTTCAGCTACCAAGGAAAACAAAAGAATAATTCTTTTCTCCTCACAACAGCTCAAATGGCAACCAAAACTAGGCTACAAGTCAGGGGTCAGCAACATTTTTGGGCAGAATGCCAAAAAACATCCACAACCTTGACTTGTAAGATGTTGGTGTGCCAGAGACGGATAGTGGGGGAGCTGCGAGAGGCCCATCCTTGTTGTGGCAGCACAACCCCAGCCCTTTTTCCGTTGTCCGCTCTGAGGCATGCAGGTCACGCAAGTACCTTTGCGTGCCATATTCTGGAACCTGTGCCGGGGGGGTGCCTACCCCTGCTATAAGTCCTTTTTTCCCCCCATAGGAAAGTTTCCGATATTTTCTTTCTAGTATCAATTGCACAAATGTTTCTCTTTTGGATGAAATGTCTGAACAAGATATGATGCACAAAAAGAGAAAAATCATAACACTTAATAAAATATCATTAGATAATTCTTCGCTGTTCACATTAATTTGCTGACATGCTTATTCTACTACAAATATTTTGTCTTCATATCACAAGATATTCTCTCTTCGGAAAGTGAATTTTCTTTTTTTTTTTTCTGAGATGTGAGTGCATACATTCTATCCAAGAAAGAAAATTATTTTGCTATTATGAAGTCATGTGTGTCCACCTGAAAAATATAGGCAATCAGGAACCTACAATACTAGTGTGTAGAAATATCACTTTATAAAATTAAAAATGCACTAGCTTAAGTAAGGCAAAGATCTTGACCAAATTTCAGAGATTTTAAATTAAACACACCCATCACAACAGCATCTAAGTGGTTGATGGGCATTCTGCTTCCCAGATGCAACGGGTTTTCTAAGATACATCCTATAACATGAGTTGTAGTGGGAGATCCTCAAATAAAAAATCGGTTTGTAAACATATTTTATCGGGAAGACAAAACAGAAAAAACGTGGCTTTGTTATAACTGATGGACAGTTTTAGATGTTTGTTCAACACAAGACAGGTTTAAGTTCTAGTGCTTGAAATGACCTTTATGAAATCAGACTGCCAGATATTTTGATGCATTTTTTTAACTCATATTTTGTGTTGAGAAAGCCTTCAGATTTCTAGAATTTTTTTACTCATGTTAGGATTTAAATATGAAATCCAGAAATATATCTACTTAGGAAAAACTAAAGAAGCTTATGGTTATTTCCAGTCTGAAACTCATCTTGCAACATTTCGCTTAAGATGACAAATTGTTTTTGAAAGTATAGTCTTATAGACTATAACATTTTAGCCTTACATGAAAAATAATTTGTACTGAGTACATTCTCTCCAATACTACTTTTTTCCCAGTGCATGATTGTATTCATGGTCCCTGCACCATTTCTCTTTTTTTAATGGAAAAAATGTTCAGCATAAAGGGCCTTAATTTGTTTACACTCCACCCTCATTACTGAGTAGCCCTCAAGAATTCAAGCATATAGAAGGCAATTATTTCCTAATTAAAAAGTGATTCACCTTGAGATTAAAACAGTTACTGCCTTAATTAAAGAAAGCCTTGTAATGAGGACAGAGTGTACTAGTAATATTCTTCAAAGGCACCTTTTACTTACGTCAACAGGGACCAGAAGGCTCTTGCCAAGATGCTGGTTAAAAGAGAGGCACCAGGCTTCAGTGTAACCATTCATGTTAGGAACATACTTCTTTATTGTCTCATCATTCAGTCTCAGCCATACACCATCATCATTGTGGATCTATGGGAAACAAGCAACAAAAACGAGCCATGCCCTCCTGTAACTGCTACATGGCCAGCAAAGACTAACAGATTGCAGACCAGGCAAGACAATGGTAGCATGAGAATTAAGCTATGCACTGTTGTGGTAGGAGAGATAAGGAAAGGTAGGGAAGAGAGTCTGGAGAAACTTAAAGCAACAAAAGAATGCTAAAGCAGTATGAAAGATACATCTCAAGAAGCTAAGTTTGAAGGAAATTTATATCAGATGGTTAAAAAGAATTTCCTTTAGATTTAAAAAAGTAGTAATCATTAAAGCCAGATCTTTCCTCATAAAACACTTGCTCCTCCCTACCTTTCATTATTTTTGTTTTATCACCACTGTCTTCATAACTTGTAAAAGTATTTGCTATATATGGAGTTATAAGAAAGAAGATACATGCACATTTACTCTAAAATGATGATGGTCTTTCAGAAATGTAAATAACAGGTGCATGATACTACCATCTACAATTTCCAACTTTGAAAGTAGTGCTTAACGATTAAACGTTAGAACATCCAGTCCCTCGAGATAAAATAGGAAACGATTCATGAAATGAATTCTAATGCAACTATCCCCTTTCTTCATACAACAGTCCTAAGATTTGTTTCACAAGTTTTAAAGTGAGTGAAAAAAAAAAATAGAAAAATAATACCAAGAAAAACTGGCAAAAATCTAAAGGCATAGATGCTTAAATTATAAATAAGGCAACATCTAAACATGAAAATCAGACTGATCATTTACATGGATTAATTTTACAACTTAATCCCTGTTTCAACATAAGTTTCTTATGTGTTACCTCGTCAATAAAAGTGATGGATCCATTGACTTTCACTATGCCTATTTGCTCACTCTGAAGGGAAGGGTGGCTACGGATACGAAGCCCTGCACTGTCCTTGGCCACAAATTTGCGAACCTAAGAGAAGCAAAGGAAGACAGTAAGGCAGAAAAAAATTGGAACAGGGTACTCAAGAGTATGAAGAAATAGATTTAACAGATTCTGAGATGCCACAGCGATAAGATGGCAGTCTTAGAGTTACAGTTTGTTGCTAGTTTCCCATGGTTGCTGCATCACATTTTCTTTTGGTTTATAAAATATTAATGTTTTAAAAATGCTATGGCAAAACTTATGTTCAACTCAATATCTGAAAACAACTCTCTTACATGAATATGGCGACATTAGATTTCTATTAAATGTTATTGGCAGAGTTCTTTAAGTTGCATGTCAGGCAAAGTTGTCTTCTGTTTTTAAGGATAATGAACTGCGATAACTGTACAGCCTAAGATCACTGGTTCCCATTTGGTGCAACACCGCAGAGCACTACTGAAAGCATTCTCTCTTGCTGGCTATTTGAACAGGACTGGGATATTAGCTACATTAGATTAGATATGTTTAGGTACATACCTGATTAGATACATGAGATATGTTCAGCTAAACAATGTTTCAAATGCCCATTTGAAGACAACTGAAGATGACATTGTTCTTCATTTATCTGCAACATACTAACTGAGCAACTTCTCCCTTCAAGTTTACATTAGATCTTCCTTATTGCTGTTCTGATTTGAAAATTGTTCCTTTGCATGCAACTATTCACTGCCCTTCTCCTATTCTACCCAATTACCAGATTCTTTTCCTACACAAAGACCTTGAAGGCTACTGGTTTGAGACATGCAGGAACTCAAGGGAGGTTGTGTAATTTTTACTCTTTCAAAGTTAACAGTTTTTCCTTCCACAAAAAACTGACAGGAAAACTAATATAATTTTTTTTTCAACTGACCTTTAAGAACAGATTCATAAGGGAAAAGAAATCAGATAAATACAGATGTTTAGGCCATTTGACATAAATGCTCTTTTTAAAGAAAAAAAATAATTCCCTAAAATAATTCATGTTTTTTACTACGGTTTTCACTAGAAAGTGTTTTTACAGAAAAAGTAACGCTAAAATGTTATTTATATACTTGTTTTGTAAGTTTAATTTACTTAAAAACTGACTGCATTTTCAGTTTGGACACACTTGTTGCCAAATCTATGGAAACTAACATGCTAAGATAATCGTATTAAAACCTGATTCATGAAGTATTTGTGTGATTCATACAATGGATGAGTAATAATGGAGGGGAGGGAAAGTAGTACACCATGTAATCTATGACAGGCTTACAGATATACAGCTGATTGGATGGATAGTCCACATCCCCCATCAGACAATTACTGGTCTGATCTCTTCTAGTAATGGCTTTAAGTAGATGAGACTCAGGCCTCCTGATAGATTATCCTGAAGAAACTAGTGCAGTGAAGATAACAGTTCTACACCCTCCTCTCTACCCAAGACACAACTTGAATGCTCTGTTAGTGTCTTTTCTCACAGTGTAACCCATATACATAATATTATAATCTAATGGTTGAACCAATGCTAACCAATATTAAAAATTAACCCTGAAGTCACTAAAGTTAACAAACATTAAAACAACTTTGCATTACAAAAATATGCAAATTATTTCCTCCTCTGCACTTCCAAGAGCAATCCTAATTCTACCCATTCATACTACCTTGTATGGTTGGCAGAATGTTAAGTTGAGTAAGTTCCACTGCTAAGCTGAGTTGTGTTCCATAGTTTAATTCAAATAATTACAAAAAAAAGGATGAAGGAAGGTTTTTGGAGAGGTCATATTTTCTATACATTATACCTGTTGCTCTCCTCTGGAATCACTTTGTTTAGACATACAGAGAAAGTGCATAAAACTGGACACATTGTAATTGAGGCCTCAACAGCAATAAGTAGAGTAGAATAATCAGTTCTTGTGTCTTATTTATAATGCCCTTATCAGTGTATCCACAAATATCCCCATTTTATTGTAGTATCAATTCTTAGTAAAATGCCCTGCAATTATTTAATTATTTTCACATTTTTCAGCATAATTCCTTGATTCACATTGATCAAATCAAATAAATGTATTTTTACAACTGAAAAAAAAACAAACAAACAAAATCCCCATAGGAGATAGTATTTTGTCACTCTTTATATGCCTAAGAAAAAAAATCTTTAATGCACTTATTATTGATACAACACCTAGAAGCTCCAGTCAGACCAGAATTCCACTATGCTAAGTGCTCTAAACATAGAACAAAAAGATGGCCCCTGCCCCACACAGCCAACAGTCTAAGGCGGGATAACCAGGTGGAGACAGATGAGTATAAGAAAACAATGAGATGACATCGATCAGCATTATAAAGTTGTACTCTTGGTGAAAGCCTAGTCATCACATTTTTTGCAGGCAACCTAGCAAAGAAGACTTAAGGAAATTAGCTTTGTAGAGGTTTATAGGGAGCACTTCAGGGAGCACAGAAATTTTTAATTTTTAAAGATTTAGCAGGTGAGTGAAAGAGCTGATCCCAGAGTCCAAACAAGGAAGTTAAGTCTACCTCTTGTTTCTGAACAAAAACAAAAGGATATGGTGGAAAGAGATCATGAAGGGTTTTGAAAATTAAAGTACTTATGTTTGATGTGATATGGAAAAGAGAATGAGTGAGGAGGGACATGCACAATATAAATGATCTTTGCCGCAGCATTCTGAACGGTTATCAGTAGTACAAGGATCCATTTGCCAAGGCAAGCAAAAAAAGAAGGCACGAATTCATGAGGCAGGGTGAGAGTTTTTGCTGTGTGATGGTTAGGGAACACTGTATTTTAGATGCTATATAAAAGGAATCTGCACAATTTAAAAAATAAACTGGGCATGAAGACGAATTAAAAAGCCATTCCCAGGTTACAGGCTGGAGTGAAAGGCAGAATGGTCATCTTGTTCCAAGTGACTGAGAAAGGAAATCATAGGGAATGCCTGTGGGGAGCAGCTGGAGATTTGGCCATGCTGAATTCCAGGTAATGAAGAATCAATGAGATGTTGGAGAGAGATCTATACTTTAGTAAGGACAACAGATAGTTCTGGAGATGGATGTCAGCCCTCAGCACGGAGACAATAGTGGAACTAGTATTTGCAGATGAGACCGAAAAAAACACAGTGCAGATAAAGAGAGAAAGAGATAAACGAGTTAGCTCCATGAATCCCCCCACCACCCAGCAAACTGGAGAATACTTCAAAGAATATATTCAAAAGAACAATTAAAGGAATAGCAGAGTAAGTCAATCTAGTCACAGGTACTGCTGCCACATACCTTCCACAGAGCAAGAGCATGAATAGAAGTAGCAAATACTGTCAGAGCAAAGCTGTTAAAGGTGAAGAATGAGAAATGAATAAGACAAGGAAAACAATAAGTCATAAATACTGATGGCTGGGAAATCATTGAAAGGCCACAAGATTTTCTGTAAACTAGGAAATCAATTACTTTTGTCAGATTACCCAATTTCTTTCAGACCATGAAAACTATGAAGGACCCTAAAAACAAAATCCTGAACATGAGGAGGAGGTATGCCAGTTTCTTTCTGTGGATAATTAAATGGAGAAAAACGTGTATTTGCCACATTTTTATGGCTCTTGAGGTAGGCTGAAGCCTCAAATAATAAACTCTAGAAAAGGATATCTGGGTGTCAGTTTATCACCAATGACTATTTTCAACAGAAAGCTTGATAACCTAACCTACTAGGTTACTCTTTCCTTGCCCACTGAAACTCCTAGCAGTCTGCCTGATAGTAATATTTTTAGGTAACAGGTAATATAGTAGGTACAACAAAAATATCAACATACTTTAAAAATTAGTCCACTTAAAATGGATCTGATGGGAAATGGGAAAAAGGGAACAGGGAGAAGAGGAAGGGAAAATGCAGAGAAGCATAGGTAAGACTAAAGAAGTTACTGAATGGTGCAAGCAATCTAGTGATAGATGATGCTGAAAAGGCTGTAGTACTCAATGCCTTTTTTTACCTCTATCTTCAACAGCAAGGTCATCTCCCAGACTATTTCACCTGGAAGCAGAGGTTTTTTGGGAGAAAGGTGGGAAGGGGAAGGAGAAGTGAGCAGCCAACAGTGGTGAAAAAAAAATTAGGGACTATTTAGAAATGCTAGACATGTACAAGGCCATGGGGCCAGATACAATGCACCTGAAGGTGCTGAGGTAGTTGAATGATGCAATTGTAGAGCCACTGGTCATTATTGTTGAAAACATGTGGCAGTCGGAGAGGTAACTGAGAGGTAACGGAGAGGAAAAGGGCAAATATATTGCCCATCTTTAAGAAAGGGAAGGAGGGAACTACAGATCGGTCAGCCTCACCTCAGTCCCTGGAAAAATCATGGAACAAGTCCTCAAAGCAATCTATTTCTAAGCACTTGAAGAAGAAGGTGATTAGGAACAGTCATCTTGGATTCACCAAGGACAAGTCACGCCTGACCAATCTGATTGCCTCAAGATGACTGGCTCTGCGGATGCAGGGAGACCAATGGGTTTGATATACCTTGATTTTACCAAGGCTTTTGATAGAATTTCTCACAACATTCCTACAAGCAAGATAAGGAAGCAGAGGCTGGATAAAGGGACTTAAAGGTAGAAAGAAAGCTGGCTGGATCATCAGGCTCAAACTGTAGTATAATCAATAGTTTGATATCTGGTTGCAGCCAATATCAAGTGGAATGCCCCAGGGGTCACTTCTGGGGCTGGTTTTGTTCAAGGTTTTCATCAATGAACTGGAAGATGGGATAGGATGCATACTCAGCAAGTTTGTGGATGACACCAAGCTGCATAGAGTAGCAGACATGCTGGAGGGTAAGGGTAGGATTCAGACAGACCTAGGCAAATTGGAGGATTGGACCAAAAGAAATTTCATGAAGTTCAATAAGGACAACTGCAAAGTTCTGCACTTAGGATGGAACAATACTGTGCACTGAAATAGGATGGGGACCAACTGGCTAAGTAAGCAGCAGCTCTGCAGAAAAGGACCTGGGGGCTACAGTGGACAAGCTGAATCTGAACCAAGAGTTGGCGCTTGTTGCAAAGAAGGCTAACAGCATTAGTAGGAATGTTGTCAGCAGATCAAGGGAAGCGATTCTTCCCCTCCATTCAGCACTGATGAGGCCACATCTGGAGTATTATGTCCAGTTTTGGACCTCCACTACAGAAAGAAGGTGGACAAATTAGAGAGAGTCCAGTAGAGGGCAACAAAAATAGTTAGAAGGTTGGAGAACGTGGCTGAGGGAACTGGGCTTATTTAGTTTGTAGAAGAGAAGATTACGGGGGGATTTAATAACAGTCTTCAACTACCTGAAGGGCAGTTCCAAAGAGGATGGAGCTAGACTGTTCTCAGCGGTGGCAGATGACATAAAGAGCAATGGTCTCAAGTTGCAGCAAGGGAAGTTTAGGTTAGATATTAGGACGAATTTTCTTACTAGGAGGGTAGTAAAACACTGGAACAAGTTACCCAGAGAGGTAGTGGAATCTCCATCCTTGGAGGTTTTTAATACCTGGCTAGACAAAGCTTTGGCTGGCATGATCCAGTTGGGGATGGTTCTGCTTTGAGCATGGGTTGGACTAGATGACCGCCTTAGATTTTTTCCAACCTTGATTTTCTATGATCGTAAGTGAAGAGACCAAAAGAGGGGGATGCAACCAAACAAATAGCAAAGGCCAAATAAACATCAAAATAAAAGTTTCAGCGCTTACTGCAAACATAAGTGGATGAAGATTTTTGCTCAAATTGTTTCTGTAGCTGCCCTTGCTGGCTTCAACCTGTAATTTTTTGCTCTGAACCCAGTACTGTTTGCCTACCCTGCATTATAAATACAGCACCAAATAAAAGACATTACTACTTGTCTGGTAACAATCTCAGGGTTGTTAAATGACAGCTGTTCAATTACCTGTGTGCTTGCGTGTCATACCAAGTGGAAGCCAGTTACTGTGAAAATTTCAAATCTAGTGGAAAGAACTCAAGCAACAAGAAAGGCCTTGAAATATCTTCCCTTTTTTATATGTAGATATTCAAAAACTAAAAGTAGTTTAAAAAATATTCTGACGTATATTCTGTAATTACCATCTCAACATGCTAACATGCAAAGAAACTAAATTATTTGAACTATTAGTTCTCCAAACCTTGTTTGGCTGAGGTTCTGCTTTTGGTTTGACCAGCTGAGTTCCAGGTGGTATCATCCCTTTTGGAGGATCTTTTACCTTCACTTCTAATCCAGCATCTGTAATCAAACAAAGGTTAATGGTAAAAGTTAAATATGAAAATTAAAACTGTTGTAAAGGCACATATGGCAATCAGATGACTTAACTATTATTTCTGACCTGGCTATCTAGCATGCTGTAAAACGCTGTCTTGCTCATTAATGCACAAAGTGTCTAACAGGGACCCAAAGCAGCATAAATGATACTAAATACATGAACTTCAGGTGTGCTCAATCAGACAAATAAACCAAACAAAACAATATTTATTCTTTATGAAGAGGAGAAATCTGTTCTGCCGAACAATATTAATCAGAGGCAAAGTGCTTTAGTGTCAGGTAGATATGTTTCACAGAAACCTATTCTGATGTGGGTAAGTATATCTTTAACAGGGGACAAGCAGTTCTGTTTTAACTGTGGAACGATCCAGCATCTAAGCAGCTATTATAGCCCAAGGACAGATCCAGATGGAGTACTGTACCTTTGTCTTGGGACAGCAGGTCAATAAGCAATAGGAGAGAAATGCAGTCTGACCTGGTTAAGTGCAAGGTCTTGGAATCAAGGTTGTCTGGATAATCAGGCTAATTTGAGACTGGTCCTCATGCATCTTTTTAACCCATGGAGTCAGGGAACTGAAGGCATATAATAGATCTTTCTACAGTGGAATCAGAAGGGGAACCTGAACTAAGACCAGCCCTGGAACAAAGAACTGGCACTTTGTTTGGTACAAGGCTGCAAACAGCTCTTATCACTGGAAGACCCTATCAAAAACAGGCAAAAGAATGGAATTCTTGATCTCCCACTCTTCGTAGGCAGACCAGACATGACTTAAATGGTCTGCTGTCATACTGCAAAGACTAGAGAGGTAAACAGCAAAAAAGGTAACTTGATGGCAGATAAACCAATACCATAACTGGAGTGCCTCTCTCTTGAATGAGAGGCTGGTGGGTATTTCCAAAATCTCACCAAAAGGGACGGGGAAAAACAAAATGAAACAACAAATGTCTTTTTGATAGGAAGAGGAAATAAGAGCCAAAGGAACAAAATGAGCATTGAAAAATATTGAGTAAAACAAGTAAAGCAGCAAAGCAGAAAGTGTTTGAAAGATATTGAAGAACAGAATGTGTGATCTGCCCTTTCACTTAGTGGTGTGGGAGGGAGTCTCAGAGGAGGGACCAGAATGTGCATTATTATGAGTACTACTTTGGTTAAAAAAAAGAGGGAGGGGGGGGAGGGAAAGAAAAAAAGGCTCCATATGAATCCTGAGGGGCTGAGTACACTCACAAATAAAAACATATGAACGAGAGCTTGAAGGAAGAATGCTTTCATACTTTGAATAAAACAAAAGAACTCCGGAAGAGGAAAGGACCTCACTGCTAGGGACAGACATTACATGAACTGGTTTAAGCGATCAGAAACTGGTTTAAACCTGTAACAGAACAGATGTTCAGTGTGCATAAACCAGTTTTAGAATGGCTAAAATTGGTTTAAGATAAACCTGATTGAATGCAGTATCAGACTTAACTGATTTGGGTCAAACTGGTTTATGCAATGTTGGTCCCAGACCCCTTGCTGGTTTAAGTTAAATCAGACTCCCCCAGCATCCCAGCATATTCTCTGGGCTGGCGGGGCTCTCTGTTCCACAGCAGGGCTGGCCCCTCCCCTCTGCTCCTTGGCTGCTGCTCAGCAGAAACTTGCAGGCACAGCAGCATTTGCCTGGCTTCTCCCTGCTAAGCAGGGATTATTCCCTCTTCCTGTCTGCCTTATGCAGACACCTTAGCATTAGCTAGCAGATCACATGCTGGCTACAGTCCATGCTGTGGGAGACGGCCAAGACAGACAGGCTTTTTGGAGCTCATCAACAGGTAGCTTAATGTCCTTCCTTGGAAAAGCTGTTTTAGAAGAGCTCTTTGCTCCCCCCTTCCCCACTAAGCAGGAATTCCCCCCTCCCCTCTGCCTTGCCAAGAGGTGTCTGTGTATTAGCTAGCAGACCACATGCTGGCTATGTTCCATGCTGAATCAACAGGTAATGTATCTCTGCTGTTTTCTTAATGGGGTGATAAACACTAATCAATTCCCTGCTGGGCTAATCAGAGCACCCTGCAGGGGCCTGGTCAAGCCCCCCTCAGCTCAGTGGTGTCTAAGGGAAGGAAGGGCTGCTTTAGCTGCCCCCAGCTTCTAGCCTGAGCCACTGCAGGTATGTGCCTGTATGTCTGGGATGTTCGTGCAGTTACCAAGTGATTTAACCTAGCCAGGTTAGACTAACCTGCAAAGATTGAATCAATTCAGGCTCAGGCTTTTTGAATGTCCCTAGCCTAGGGGTCACAAACGGAGGACTATTTTTAAACCTACTGAACTTTTTCTTGAAAATCTCTGATGGAGAAAATTCCTTCAGTTCCCTAGGCAGTTCACTGCATTGTCCTACAGTTCTTACAGTTAGGAAGTCATTCCTGAGATTTCATCTTTACAGTATTTTAAAACTATTACCCCTATTCTCCCCTGCTACAGAGAATTTTCTCCTCTTCTCTAGAAAGCTTTTCAAGTATTTGAAAACTGCTCTCATGCCAAATCTTTTTCTCCAAACTAAACATACTTTCTTCAAACTTTCCTCATAAAACTTGATTTCCACCCCCTTTATCATCTTTGCTGTTTTCCTCTGGACTTCATTCTGTTCCTTTATGTCCTTATAATAGCGGCATTCAAAACTAGAAAACTACATTCCAGCTGAAGCCCAACCTGTACTGAACATAGTACTACCACTTCCCATGTCTTACAAGCAATACTACCATTAATGCAGCTAGTTCCTCCAGAAATGAGATGAATTTCATCAGTTCATGTTGACTTGAATCAATTCAAGTTTGTCAAAAGTTCTCTGCTACACTCTTCATTTATTATTGTCAGAATTCTCCCATTTTCTGTTTGTTTATACTGTTAGTCTCCATGTTATAGCTTTATTTTTTTTAAATGAAAACTGAAGCAAAGTAGGCACTTGAGCAGTTCTGCCTACTGCATATTTTGGTTAAAAGCTCACCTCCTTGAGCAAAAGGCTCTTTTTCCCTTGTCTGCCTTTCCACCTGACACATTTAAAGAACCCTTTTTAAAATGCTTAATTTTAGCAAGAATGTCTAAATACAGACACTTTCTCTTTTTCTCTTCCTCAAAACTTATATACTGCATACATGCTTAGAATCATAGAAAATTAGGGTTCAAATGGAACTTAAAAGGTCATCTAGTCCAACCCCTTGTTCAAAGCAGGACCATACCCAACTGTATCATCTCAGCCAAGGCCTTGTCTAGCCGGGTCTTCCATGGATGGGAAGTCCACAACCTCTCTGGGTAACCTGTTCTAGTGTTTTACTACCCTCCTAGTGAGAAGGTTTTTCCTAATATCAAACTTAAACTTCCCCTTCTGCAACTTGAGACCATTCCTCCTTGTTCTGTCATCTGCTACCACTGAGAACAGTCCAGCTCCACCCTCTTGCAAGGTGAAGGCTGCTATTAAATTCCCTTTTCCAGGCTTTTCTTCTCTAGACTACATAAGCCCAGTTCCCTCAGTCTCTCCTCAGAAGTCATATGTGCCAGCCCCATAATCATTTTCGTTACCCTCTACTGGACTCTCTCCAATTTGTCCACATCCTTTCTGTAGTGGGGGGCCCAAAACTAGACACAATACTTCAGATGTGCCCTCACCAGTGCTGAATACAGGGGAATAATCACTTCCCTTGACCTACTAGCAACACACCTACCAATGTAGCCCAGTATGTTGTTAGCCTTCTTGCCAACAAAGGCACACTTTTGGTTCATAGTCAGCTTACTGTCCATTGTAACCCCCAGGTCTTTTTCTGCCATTACTAGACTGTTACTTAGTCAAGTAATATATGCTTAGTCAAGGATGAAGTCCACTAATCGCTACTCATTTTCCTACGTTCATATCTAGTTATATCCTTAGATGGTTAGTCCTAAGAATGTACAATTTTTCAACTGTTTTCAATTTTTGACAATAGTGAGTAGTTTGTTCTATGGGTGGTGAGAAAAGAGACTGGATAACATGCTTTTGATCCAAGAGCTATATGGTAATTTTTGCTATGAATATTACATTCACTTAAAACCTCAGAACAATACTGTAGATAAATACCAACTGATCACTTGTTGCTGTTGCGTAAAAATAATGAAAACCAAATACCTATTTCAATGCCATCTATAGTAACATGAATAGTGTAGAGACCAACAGCTCCTGGAGTCCAATTAGCACAGTAAGTGCCATCATTGTTGACTCTAATCAACATGTTTTCACTGGGTCTAGAATAAATAAAACAATTTTGAAATAATTAACCAAACATCAGCTTCTTGAATATCTTTTGAAATATATTGTTCTACTTATTTATTTTTCGTTTTTATTCCACAGCATTCATACAATCATTTTGTTGCCTTAAATTTGTCTTAACCATGTTAATAATCTCTGCAGTAAATAAATGTGATCTTCCACTCGGAGACTGAATTCAGGTGAAGAATTCAAACAAGTAAAATGAGCATTCAACATTTGTATGCAAAATTCCCTGTAGTTTTACGAAATATAAAAAGAAAATGTACATTTGAGGTTTCCTCATAAAGCAAATGCTTTCCAGAATTTTGACACCTAAATCAACCAATCTGGAATACGTCTATTTTGGGGTTAAAACACACAGCTCTGACATCAATAAGATTTAAGAAGTGGGTGTAATTAGTGACAGTTAAAGAAAATTCTGTGCAAGTTTTTGTTTGTCGTTGCTGTTCTTTGGGGGCTGGGGGTTGTTGTTGTTGGTTTGTTTGGGGGTTTTTTTGTTTGTTTTTTTTACCTCTTAGGCGTCGGTGAGGCAAAGCGTAATTCTTCAAAAGAATAATTTTCATAAGCCTATGAAACAAAATACATAAATCACATTCTAAAACAAAATCTTGCACTTGATCAACACTATTATAGTTTTAATGTAAAAAAAGTTTCTCAAATATAGAAATTGAATTGGTTGTGCAACATGAAGTGTTAACAGGGAAACCGATACAAAGTTGAACACAATCTGTGAAGTGATCATTTTGGGTGTACTTATTACTCATGAAAATTCAGGAATAATCCCTCTGAAAAAAACTGGAATTATAGGGTTGAAACAGATCTCAAGCATCATCTAGTCCAGTCCCCAGATTCAACTTTACTTGTATTCCTGAATCTATTTGTGAAGACCCAGACTCTAGGGCTAAGTCAGATCTATCTTCATTTATAATCCTTAAGCCATCTGCAACCATTGATTTGAATGATTACAGTATACTGGGTAGGAAACCCATCTATTAGAAGTTGGATGATGATTATCAGTTTATTTCAGATAGGCTAAACAGCCATGGGAAGTTAACTACTTTTAGTTAAAGCTAAACCAGGGCAGAGATAAAAAGACTATCAATTCTATTCCCTTAAACTAGGGGTTGGCAACCTAAGGATTTGAACCAGATCAGTTCACAAATTCACTGGATACAGTCCGCAGTTAGGGACTTCAGTGGTGGGGGCCCTGCCCCCAGTGCAGCTGAGCAGCAGGTTGCTTAGCCTGTGCTATGGCTGGTAGCTTTCCCTGCTCCACAACCAGGTGGTGGGGAGAAGCAGCAGCAGCATGTGGGTCCTAGTGCCAGCCCGTCTCAGACCTGATGTGATTCATTCTAGCCCACCAGGTAAAAATATTGCTGACCAATGCCCTAAACTGATCTCTATTAAGCAAGGGAGTTCTTTCTAGGTTGCAATCACAGGTATTTAATAAAATGTCTACAATATAAAAATTGGAGACAGTTCTATGAATCAGGAAAGAATAAAGTCATTTGAATAATCCATAAGTCATTATGGATTGTGTTAAAACTGGACAAACCTTTAGGCTTCGATTTTTTATTTAAAGACTGTGGGTATTAACATGCTCTTTACTCACACATGCAAAACCTGTACTGTTACGGTATTGATGCAGCGTAATTTTAAAACATATTAACACACAATGTTATTCCTTATATGCCTTCTGCTATAAAGCAGGTATCCAGTTATGAATTCCATTATGTATTTATAGAGGAAACATTTCTCCACTCATCTACTTAATGATATTTTAGAAAGTCATCCTATATGAGAAAGGTGTTTGAAGCCTTGTTGAAGGGCTATTGCTCAGAGCCACCTTGACAGCAATGTGAGCTATGAATTTTGCATGATGTAGTACTGACTCATGACCCCAATAAAAAACCAAACCAAAACAAATACTTTATAACAACTGGCTCTTCAAGATGTGCTGTCCAGGTGTTCAGAGACTATTGAAGAATGAAACACAGCTATGCCAGAAGCAACACTAGTTATTGATGCTCCATAGGGACTAATGGCCCATGTTGCTGCTCTGTGAATTTCTGATGCACTCATTTCTTAAGGAAGAGGAGGAGGAGAATTTGATGAACAGTAATGTGCACTAGATAAAATGACCTCTCTCAAAATCAGCCAGGTTGTGAACGTTGTCCTTGACTTGCCACTTCTAGTAAGGACTTGGAGAAAACCCAAAGCTGTAGATAAACCAAAAACTACTACACAGTCTTGATAGTCATTCTGTCCTGTTTAGAAGGTGGGGCATGCTCCATGTATGTATGGAGACTGGAAACCTAGCATCTTGCAGGTCAAAAATGATAGGTCAATCCTAAGGATCTAGCACTGTAATTATGGGCTTAGGGATACTATTCTAAACTTGGATGTGGCAAGTTGGAAGCACTGAGAACCTTCAAGTTTAGGAATTAAATCACCATCCTTCTTTTTATTTGGGTGTCAGGAAATTGGAATAAAAATGTCTTCCCCTTGTACTAAAGCGGTGCTTCTGTTTCTCCTATGTATGGAAGTACTCACTGCTATAATAGTTCCTTGCCAAAATAATTCCATGAAAAGGGACAGGAAAGCAGGGGTAGAATTATCATGACTTGCATAGCCCACCAGTAATATTTTAGATCCCAAATGTCTGCTGTTACCAGGTTCTATGCTCCATGACAGGAAGAATGGCCTTTTTTGAAATTTTCTTTTGCTCAACTTATTAGACACATAATTGTGTTAAAACTTTATGAAACTGGTCCTTTTAAAAGTACTTAATACATATGTTACCGATTAGAATTTTATTCCGTCTGCACATATCGCTGAAACCCAAACAACTATTTCTTTTAAGTTCTGAGCTATATTCTACATCTGTGAAGCTCATGTCTAATGAACACAGTTCTTTCCCTCCCCCCTCATCTTACAAAATGCTATTTTATAAGTTCATCGGAAAATAGGAACTAATAACTGCATTGCTGGAATGACTAATTTACCTTCATCATTGTTATAGCAATATATCGAGCTTCTTTCACTATCATAGGTTCGTAAGAAGCATCGAGTTTTGGTGAAGGGAGTCCTCCAAAGGTCATGTCAGTGACCGGGGAAGCAGCTGCTGCAGGACTTCCTGGTATCCTTTGGAGTTTTTTTACTTGTTCATGTTGCAAAGATGTTTTTTTCTGGGAAACAGGAATAGCCTTGACCTCCACCTACCAAAACACAGTAAGAAGCGAAAACCTAATGAATAAGAAGTTTCATTTTCTCTTTTTCTTCCTTTTCCATTTCCCTATCCAAAATCTTATTCTGTGTTTCCCACTACTGCTTTTCTCAGATGCCTTTATTTCCTTTTCTACATACGCTTGGTATTTCACTGACTACTACTTCCATTTTTTTGTATTAAAGTTCTAAGAGCCCTTATATAAAAAACCCATCTAAGTCTCAAAAGACTGTTTTACCCTTAGACTTACTCTTACTCCCATCTCTCCTCATTTTAGGATCTGAAATCTTGGTAAGCACTATAACAAGATGATATTTTCATAGGAATAGTAAGGAAATTAATTTGGAATATAAATTTATTTTTTGTTGTTCAATCACTGACCCCACCTTGGCATGTATTTTTTGTTCCACAAAAGATTTTGACAAACACATAGTGAAAGACAAGCCAAAGTGATTATAGTTTGTAAACAGTTACCTTCATATTTGGAACATGAACAACATCTCCATATTGATCTTTTGTCTGCACTGTAATAACAGTAGGCCAACCGCATCGGATGTCATCCTTATTTAGAATCAAGGATGTCTTTTGAGGATCAGCATATGAATCTGGCTGAAGCCATCTACAGCAAAGTTAATGTACAAACATTTAATGTTAAAGTGTTTCCCATTCTTTTCAAATCACAAAGATTATCAACTCTTGTCCCTCTAACATTAAAACAATTACCTTGAATTGCAATTAAGGATATACAAACCAAACTCTGAAGCACTGTATTTATTTGAATCCAAGACGGCTTTGAATTTAAGATGTCCCCCCAAATTAAGTTTATACATGGAAAATTATAAATTTCTTACTTTTCCAAGTGAAGAATCTAATTATTGGAGTGTCACCTTACACTGATCCCCCTCACCACTGTGGCAAGGAAAGCAGCAGTAGAAGGGCAAGCAGCTAGAAGGCAAGTGGCAGGAGGGGGAGGAGGAGGGCAGGCAATCCAATACCAAGCCTTTACCCTCCTGCACTTTGCTTCAGCCCTATGCCATCCGCCCTCCCCTGACCTGCACCATGTCCCCACATGCCATTCTCCCCCTGGTGTCTGCTCCCCTCTACTCACATATGCCTCACAATCCCACTTTGTCTTCCCCCAGCCAGTTAGCCCCTCCCTCTCCACATGCTGCACTCCTGGATGGCC